ATCTCAGCTCAAAAAAGAAAAAAAAAAAAGGAAAACTCCCTTCTTTGCTTTTAAAACGAATTAATGAAATTATGAAAATACCTTATCAATGAACTTTACTATTTACCATCCAGCTATTTTGTCTATGAATGCCCAAAAACCAGTTTGATTAATTTTATAACCAAACTTATTCTATGTTTAAAAAACAACAAAGTATGCGTATTAATTAATGAGTCATGAAACAATCTGCCCCTTATTTCAGTAGCGGCCCACTCTTGGAATAGCACCTTGATTTATGCACACCACAGTTCTTAACATCTTATCAATAGTCAATTTCCATAGTTAACAGAATCTTGATATGGTCAAGGTCAATCTTTTGGAAAATTCAAACGCAAAATCATTTGAAATGTCTTTTCATCATTTTGTTATTTTAAAGAAACAACTCATTATTCTTTTTCTCCTCCTCTAAAACTACTGCATTATTTGAGAATATAGTTTTAATTTTAATACAAAACTTTATAGTACCAATTTAAACAGTCTAATTTTTTTTCTACTTCTGTAGCTTGTTAGCCACTCTCAGGAAATTATCAAAAAAGATTTACATTTTTATATATTATTTCATAACCATTTCCTTTAGAGCATACTTCAAGAGTAGGATAGCATGAATCCAGGAATATCTCGTTCTCTTGAAGGCAGCAGTGAAAAAGTTAATTCACAGCCGCATTTATGAGTTTTATTTATACGTAACCTGTGGTAAAAGATTTATCTGTCAATTATTAAACTATTTTTCTCAAGTGTCAAGAATGCATACTAGTATAAAATCAATTAATGCAGATATAAAAGTAGTTTTTGTTTAAGTAAAGTTTGAAATTAAAAATAGGGCAGTACGTTAAAAATCTGAGTTAATACTTGAAACTCCCAGATGGAACAGAAAAGAAGGGGATTGGAAGAGAGAGAGAGAGAGAGAGAGAGGAGAAATGAAGAGGAGGAGAGGGAGGAGAGGAGGAGGAGAGGAGAAATGAAGAGGAGAGAGGGAGGGGAGAAGTGAGGGAGAGAGGGATTGAGATTGATTTTGAGATCGGTCAAGCATCACATCCTTTTTTTTTTTTTTTTTTTAACATTCTGGCATAAAAATATTTAAAAGATCCGGACAACCAGAACACTGATCCGTTTTTCCTTACTTTAAAGACATAAGTGATATGATTTTTTTTTTTTTAAGTCTCTCTGGGTACACCAGGAAAATTATTCAAAAGCCATGCGGTAGGGTGCGAACTAAGAGCATTCTTCAAACAAACGCGACCTTTTCTGTTTCTTGTACTCCTTTTCTCAACCCAGCCAGAAAACCCAGACAAGTTTATTTACACACACACCCGCACACACACACACACACACACACACACACACACGCACGCAGAGAGAGAGTGGCGGAAACGCCCTCTCTCCATCCCTTCCAAACAATTATCTCTGAGAGCAAAAGAAAATAATCAACGGCCCTCTGTGCTGGGCGGCTGAGCAGGAGAGCCGGGCGCCGGGAGGGAGGGCGAACCGCAGGCAAGCAGGGAAACGTGGCTCCTCCGCCGAGGAGAGGATTTGTGAAGGGGAGCGCTGGCCCGCGTGCGCCTCTTGTTCCCCGTGTAATTTGCAGCCAATCATCAGTAGGTGTCCACGTCCCTGCGTCCTCCTCACCTCGGCGCCAATCACCCCCCCCGCCCCCGCCCCCGCCCCCAGCCTCCACACCTCCTCCCTCGCCTTTCTCTCGCGCTCCCCTCCCCCAGCAACCACACACACGCACACACACACACAAACAGAGAGGGAAGGGGGGGAGGGTGAGAGAGAGAGAGAGGGGAGAGAGAGAGAGAGAGACTCCCCGGCTCCCTCCCTCCCTCGCACACAGCGACTGGAGACGGACGGAGAGCAACGCGCTGGGAGAGGAGAGACCACCGAGAACAGCCCCGCGCTCTCACACATACACTCACACTCGGCTCTTTCCTCTCCCCCCACCTCCTCCTCCTTCCACCCCCACCACTAACACCATCTCCTCCTCCTTCTCTCTGCAACAAGAAAAAAAAAGCCATTTACAGGTATTTTTTTTTGATCCGCATATTTATTTATCCCCCCCCCAACAGTTTGTTTACAAGTATTAAAGTTGTAATTGGGAGCTGCCAAGACACATCTGGATTTGTGTTTCTTTGTGTTAGGGGGTGATGTGCAACTAATTAAAGGCAGACTAGCAGCGTCTGCAAATTCTAAGGCTCCCCAAATAAAAAGAGACTGGTAAGTGATTGTTCTTTCTCTTTCTCTGGCTTTTTTTCTCTTAAATGTTTGCTGTCCGTTGGGATTGTAAAAGTAGATTATTAATGCTGGACTCCAGCAATAAAAGGCGTCGCTGTATTAATTTATTAATTAATCTGCACCCGCCCCTCCTCCTGAATGTTAAATATGACCTTTGATCTCTATGTCTCTGGTAGACCAGACATACAATATTAGGCATGTACAATCACATTGTTTAAAGGCAAAACAGGATCATGAAGTATGGTTGTCTAATTTAGCTTTGGAATAGGACTATAGTTATTTGTGTGTGTTTTATTTTGTTTTTTAAAGAAAATCCAAACAATAGCTGTGGCTTAGGTACCTTTTTCATGCTCCAGAGATGCATTGATTAAACAATAATGACCTGGATACTGGGCACAATCATTTTCTACAGTTTCTGGTGGCATTAAACCTTGAGGGAGGAAGGGGGAGGTGATGGCAATAAGAAAAGCAAGGAAAGCTTCTGTTTGCAAACAGCACTCTAATACTCTGGAAAGGGGACATTAAATTATTTCTTTATATGGAACAAGGTCAGAAGACTAAAATACTGAATTTTTTTCTCTCCACTCAATGTGATAGCTAATGCATGGTTGGTATAACTAGTTTTTACTGAGTAGCAGTTATTATGGTCTTGCAGTTACAATGTGATTCGCAGAAACTGAAGCTATATGCATATTCTTGCTGTATCTTCCCCTACCCCCTTCCAAGCATCAAGAATATTTAGCCAGGAGCATTTTGGGGGCACCCTTTGTATTGCCATCAGACCTCTGAAGGGAGCAGTTTTCCCTAATGCGAAACCACAGAGGTGGTTCCTGAGTGATTAGGGACTTGCTGTGATTGAAAGATGCCTGCTAGCTTCTAATCCAGCCTGGGGTGAGGTTCCTTATCTTGATTTACTTTGCCTAATAGGGATTTGTTTACATAAACCCCTCTTTTTAGGGCACCTCATCAGCAGGTCTTGAAGTTTTTGCACTTGGAGTTTGGGCATAAATGGTTCATTAATCTAATTATAAGCATAATTACTATAATTGATATCCATTTCGAACTGAATATTTGAGACTGAGACTACTGGGCCCCCATTTAGAATTCCCTGAACTCCACATTCCAGACCAACATGTGGGCTTCAAAAGATGTCACAGAAAGATATTCTGCCCCCCCCCCAAAAAAATCTGGAAACAAAGAAACTGGTTTTTTTAGGTTAATATACACTTTATGTCTTTACGTTACTTCTTAAAAAGCTGAGATGTACCCTTCCTCTGTGATAAACAACTAAAATACCTCTTCCTAAAGCATAATAATGGCCTGTAAGCAAAGGTATGAATGCAAATACCCAGTTAACATTAAACTTTCCTCTTAAAAAGAGCAAAAGAAAGAAAATCTTTTTTATGGTTATTTCTTCAAGTAAACAACACCTTAAGGGATCTCCCTTCCTCCCCAACCCACCACCTTTTTACTCAATGTAAAAACCAGTGACGATGAGAGATCCCTAAAAAAAAAAAAAAAAAAAAAAAAGTCCCATGCTTTCCTCTTGTCTTGGGAAGAGACAGGAGTCTCCATTAGGAATTATTGGGAATATTCTTAAAGAGGCTGCAGGCGCTTGGTTTAAAACGGGTGACATTGTTTGTATTATTTTTAAAAATTTGTATCTCGTCCATTTTTCTTTCCTTTCTTTATTTCTTTTAAACAAGTAGAACACCACCCTCTTACCCCCACCGAGCCCCACCACCAAATGGCTTGTACAATTGAGACCTGTCCTTGGTCCATTGAATTAAGACCCTAACAGAGCCAGCTGTGCTGGGATTCAAACTAATGACCGCAGACACAGAAGGACACTGTGGCAGCTGGTAGTTCTTTTTTCCCTGCCTCTTTAGTTCAGATTGTATGTGGGCAGTCTCTTAGCTCTCAGTTGTATTGTGTTTGCTTACAGTTTATACTCGGATGTATTGTAGACTTTCTCAGTACTTCATTTGCTAATTTCCTGTTCATTTTCCTCATAGGGCCATTGCTGTTTTCTACTTTACAGCATTTGCATGCCCAGGCAGCACTTGTTCACACATTTCATAATGTTTAAATGCCCTCTGCTTATAGGTAGTATCGCCCTCCCACCCCTGATTTGCATGTCTTTAGCACTCCAATTGCCCTTTTCCCTCGGCATTTGTCACCCCCGTCTTTCCTCTTTCCCTGGGTATCCTGGCTATTAATACATTTTCTCTGGAGGGTTATGAGAATAGGGAGGAGGAGCTGTGGTGTGCTGTGGGGAGGGAGGGAGTGGGTTGGGAGCGTGTGGGGGGGGGGGGGGGATGGGGGGGGTCACGTCTTGATGATTGTCATGCAAACGACCTGACGAAGAATGTGGGAGTTCTCTGTGTCTGCGGTGGGGTAGTGAGGGAGGCTGTTTATTTATTTTAATCTTTTTCCTCGTGCAGCTCGTTGGAATGACTTTCTTTATTTTAGTTGTAACAGTTGGAGGATAATGCTAAGGAAGACGCTGCCTGGGAATTCACCGTCTGTGGAAATGCGCCCCAGAGAGGAATAAAGCAGTCCTCACCTTGCTTTCCCCATCCGGACCTACTTTCCCCTCCCGCCTCGGCCCCCCCCCCAACACCACCATCACCCCCTTCCCCCCCCCCCCCCTTCCCCCCTTTCCCACCCAGGTGTCGGACCAGGCGGTCCCCACTTCCACCCTGCACCCCTTCTTCCCCCCCTGCACCATGAACACCAATGTCTGCGTGGAGCCCGGGCCGAGCCCGGAGGCCCCGGGCTTGCCCAAGGAAAGCCACCTGCCCGAGGGGGCCCTGAACAGCCTTGTGGATTACAACTCGGAGATGGAGCGCTACCGCTCCTTTGCCACCTCCTTCTACAAGACCAACGGGGGCGCCTTCCCGCAGGCAGCCAAGATCGCGCGCATCACCACCCCCATCTTCCCCAGCAGCGCCGCCGCCGCCGCGGCCGCCGCGCGCATCGGCATGTCCCCCTGGAACTGCGACAACGCGGCCACCGCCGCCGCCGCCACCGCCATGCTCTGGGGCAGCGGCGGGGGCGGGGGCGGCGGCGGGGGCGGCAGCGGCGGCGGGGGCGGCGGGGGCGGTGGCGGGGGCGGCGGGGGCGGCAGGAAATCCTCCTCCGCCGCCGCCTCCTCCTCCGCCTCCTCTTCGGCAATCCTCCCCGCCGGCGGTGGCGGTGGCGGCGGCGGTGGTGGCGGCGGTGGCGGCGGCGGCGGCGGCGGCGGCGGCGGCGGCGGAGGCGGAGGCGGCGGCAGGACCAGCATGCACCACCGAAACGACTCCCAGAGGCTGGGGAAAGCTGGCTGCCCGCCAGAGCCGTCGTTGCAAATGGCAAATACTAATTTCCTCTCCACCTTATCCCCTGAACACTGCAGACCTTTGGCGGGGGAATGCATGAACAAGCTCAAATGCGGCGCTGCTGAAGCAGAGATAATGAATCTCCCCGAGCGCGTGGGGACTTTTTCCGCTATCCCGGCTTTAGGGGGCATCTCATTACCTCCAGGGGTCATCGTCATGACAGCCCTTCACTCCCCCGCAGCAGCCTCAGCAGCCGTCACAGACAGTGCGTTTCAAATTGCCAATCTGGCAGACTGCCCGCAGAATCATTCCTCCTCCTCCTCGTCCTCCTCAGGGGGAGCTAGCGGAGCCAACCCGGCCAAGAAGAAGAGGAAAAGGTGTGGGGTCTGCGTGCCCTGCAAGAGGCTCATCAACTGTGGCGTCTGCAGCAGTTGCAGGAACCGCAAAACGGGACACCAGATCTGCAAATTTAGAAAATGTGAAGAGCTAAAGAAAAAACCTGGCACTTCGCTAGAGGTCAGAGGAGATGATTTCTTGTTTCCCAGTCTCCCCCCCTCCCTCCTCACTCCCCTCTCTTCTCCCCTTCAGGGCTTCTTGTCTGGCTTGAAGATGCAGTACCCCTTTCCTGAAGCTTCATTCAGGCTGTAAGATACAGTTGCAGGTGGTTGTGAGGGCACGGCCTCTTCACCACCCTCCCCAGCTGCACTTCGCGTGGAACTGGCCTCCAGATGGGGGGGGGTGCGCCCCTCCTTTTTTTTTTTTTTTTTTTATCTTTGGTGGTAAACTAATGTAATTGGTTTAAAAAATCAGAAGTTTCACATTCAGTATGCTCAAAAATGCCCCTTGGCGGTTTAATATGCCCCCTTCCTGTTAGTATTAGTTTTAAAAGCATCTCTGCCCAAAGGATTGGACATACCACATTTTATATACTTTTATTGGCTAAGAGAGACTTATTAGTGGCCCAGTTATAACAGTGAGGACACCATTTGTGGCACACAAGCCTATGTTTGCATTAAGACACACACACAGAGGAATCTTGGAAGCTGAAATAACATGGATTCAAAAGGGTGTTCTACCCCCTTCCAGAAGTTTTTCTCTTCACCATGATAAAAATGTTTCTGTTTCCCATTTTCTGCATATCTGGTATTTTTTGAGAAAGGAGAAGTAATATAGAAAGCTGAACGCCACCTGCAATTTTTGAGGGGGTGTGTCTTAAAATCAAGGGACAGAATGAGTTCATTTCAGACAGGTGATGGTAATTTTATTTAAGAATTGTTTTACATAATCTCACAAAAAAATGATTACTAAAATTTGGTTACCAAAGAATATTTCCTCTGGGCTCTGCATTTGACAAAGTAACCATTTTGTGGTCACAAAACTGTTCTATAAATGAAGCACAGTTTTGATTGATACGCTAGGTAGTCAACAATAGTTTTTGGTTTTTTTTCCATATGTCCTTAAATTAGACAATGTACCGACTGTCACTAAAGTAATTGTTAAATTAGGCTTTTAATTATGTTAAATACAAAGAGTGATGTGTTTGGTGGGAATTTCATATGGTAACATGATCAAAACAAAAAGGGAAAAAATGTACAATCATAGGTAAACGAAATGATTTTAGTGGCATGTTTAGCAAGATGTATGAACAAATAATCATATTTAGCCCCTTGATATCATTTACAGAGTAGGTGGCAGGATGTTCATATATACTTGAGAATATAGGTGGTAGATTTAGCATTTGGGAATATTCTATGGTCTAGATTACAGAGTGAGATTGTCTCTCACAAGTTATCATCAGAGGGGCACTTGCACATTCTTTTTAAAAAATGTGAGCACTGCTTAAAGGAGTTTTTTCCATGAAGGACTGGTCTTTAAAAGGATTTTTTAAAAAGGAAAGTTAAAGAATTTTGTTGGAGGCTAGAACACAAATAAGGTATAGTTTTTTTCAAGTTTTATTAATATGCAAGGCAAATAACATTTTGAGATTCAAAAAAAAAAACAGTATTATATCGATATCGTTATTGTGATCAGTTCCATCAAAATGTTACATGTATTCCTCTTTATAAGAAAACCCATCTCTTTGTCGAAAGTTTGACTTTACTCCAGGGTGGTTTATTACACTTCCTTTGGCAACACTGCTTAAACAAAGATAATAACAATTATAAAAATGCAGGTCCCTGTATTTTGTTGGTGGCAAAAATTCGTTTTTAATTTTTAAATTCCGTTTTCTGGACTAGTTTGTTGTAACTTACCTCTAGGTCTCTAAGGCCCATGGAAGTTAAAATTCAGTTCATACTAAATTTCCTGTTGATGCCCAGTTGATAAGGACTAGATGGTTTTTATTTTTCCACTTGAATTGTATAGTATCTAGAATTACAGATTTCATGTTGCTAGTAGGCCACATCTTCAGCTACACCCATGGCATTGCCTTGTCCTGATTTAGAGTATGCAGTGGGTAAGACCACTGAATAATTCTGATTTATTTAGTAAATAACTGCTTTGCAGGAGCTTAGTGTGGGTACCAATAGGTTTTCTGCACAAGTTTCTATGCTGATGTATCAGTCTAGACAAACTTCATAAATTCCCTTTTTTTTTTTTTTCCCTCCTTTGGATAGTTTTCCCACAAACTGGTTGTGATGCTTAAATTCCTTAGACATTTTGATCCCATAGTATTATGTTTTCTTCCTCCTCCTCCTCCTCCTTCCTCCTCCTCTTCTTCTCCTTCTTCTTTTTTAATCCAAGTGCACAACAGTTCTGTTGATCTTCAGAAAATGGGGTGTAGGTGAGAAAGGAAACACATCCCTGTCTTTGTAGAGCTCTCTGAAGATGTTTTCCTAACTACATACCCCTTCCTACCAGAGAATGGGGTCATGGTTCAAGGCTAAGATCGTTAGCAGAGTGTTATTTGGTAGAAAGAAAAAGTTTTGTGGGGGAGGGGTTGTTTTCATTTTTTTAATTGGCTAAGATTCTCTCTAGGTTATTTTAAAAAGGCAATGGCAGACATAAGCATATGTGTAACCACACAGTTATGGCTGTAGGGAAGCAGCTGGATGCATGTCAGAGTGACAGGGTTTACATGACTGAACCAAAGCTGGAACAGTGTTTGCTGGTTGGTGAAAAGTCCCCTGCTGACCTGCTTCCCTCTCTAATTTGGTTCCTGTAAGTTATCATCATCTGTGGAGATGTTTTAGAGATTGGTTAGACTCCCTAGATGAGGACAGTGATTTGGGGATTCATTATGGATATCACCTGTGGACCTCAGGTTTAAGTTCAGTAACTTGTATTTGTTGGCTTTAAATTATGGATGCCAATTAATAGTTGCATCATAATCATTAGTTATATTCTGATTTAACATTTCAAACCTCATGCGTCCTTCTTTCCTTTGACTTATTCTCATCCCAAAGGCTGGAGGCTTAATCAGATTTTCAGGGTGAGTAAACTGAAACACATGGAACATGGAAGTGTTGGGAGTCTTGCCCACATTTTTTTGAAGTCTCCCCTCTGGCATTCCTTTTAAAACAGCCTTACTTATTTTCACATTTTCCTGCTTAGTCTCATGTTAAGAACATCTTACTGCCTTGGAAATATGTTTATAAAATCACGTCCTTGATAATATTCCATAAGATAATAATACACATATAACAAATTCAGTTTTTCTGTGATACTGTGCACTGTATATTTGCATAGAACACTGTTCATTTAGTCAATTATTACATTAAAAAACTATCATTAATTATTCAAAGCAGCTATTACAAATACCGTATGCCCCTTCTGCAACAAAACTTATCTTAAAAACTTGCATCCTAAATGATCAATACCAAGTTGAGAGATTTTAATAAACATATGATTATGCATTATGATACTAAGTTACATAATAGCACTTTGTCTCGTGCAAAAGTAACCAATCCTTCAGTTTTCATATTTGCAGCAGTTACATTTCTGATATGAAGCTCTAACTTTTTAAAATATCCCAACTCGATATGGCTCAAGGGATAGGATTGTCCCATGGGCAACCCCAGCCTCTTAGTGCCTGAACATTGTTCAGGTGACATGATTGATCTCTGTGGGACAGCATTAGAGACCACACAGATCTGGTTTCTCTCCCATTAGCTGATTTATGGAATTACATTAGTAAGCAGCACCTCAGGAGATTTCCCTGCCCCCACCCTTGGCTCTCAGCTGTAAGATACACGCTGCCACCGCAAGTTAGAGGAGGGACTTGAAATCATTATAGTAAAGAGACTATAGTGAAGAGAAAATGGAACTTCAAGAAAAAGGGACAATTTCAATCTCTTTTCTTTTAAAATCTTTCTCTCATTAAAACATATATCTACTGAATATTCAGGCCAACAAATTAGGTTGAGCTACTAAGGGGTTTGGTGGAAAACACCCAAATATTGTCCCAAACTTGGTAACTTGATTTTTATTTTATTTTATTTTATTTTATTAAGATTTTATTTATTATTTGACAGAGAGAGAGACACAGTGAGAGAGGGAACCCAAGCAGAGGGAGTGGGAGAGGGAGAAGCAGGCTTCCCCCTGAGCGGGAAGCCTGATGCAGGGCTCCATCCCAGTACCCTGGGATCATGACCTGAGCTGAAGACAGATGCTTAACGACTGAGCCGTCCAGGCACCCTGATAACTTGATTTTTTAAGGAGTATTTTAGGGGAAGAGGACACATTTCTTTATACATGCCATTAAGTTCCACCACACAAAAGGCAGTCATAAAATTCTGGACACAACATTGTCTACAAGGAAGATGGTACCTGCTTCCTAAAGAAATTTATTTATAGACCATATGTAAAATTTGTGTGTTCTTCAAACTCAGAATATGTATAGTTAAATAATGAAAACAGCCAATAATTGAACATGTTATAAGTTTTTGAAGTTTGGTGACTTTAAAAAAATGTATAGGTAAACACACATGTTTCATATCTTAAATTGAAACATTCATCAGTTTGTCATTTTATATCACAATTTAAAAACGAATTCTCAGTTTTTAGTTTCAAAAACCAAAAACATACTAGTATAAAAATATGAATTTTTGTTTTATTATCAAAATGCAAGTATGTAACTATCAAAGGGAAAGAGGAAAGTTGTCAATTCAAACAAATGATAGTATATTAACACTAGAGTGTAATACAGAACTCATATAGGAAAAAAGATCCTGAGTTTCATAAATGATAAGAAAAAGGTTCAGAAAAGTTTAGCTTTAACTAAAGACAAATAGATTTGTAGTCAAGTCATCAAACTGTAATACAAGTTCAGTGAGATTTTCCTTCTATCACTACATTTAATACGAGATAGTCAAAGTTTTTTTTTTTTAAAGAACCATGCCTTTTTAATAATTCCTAAATTAAAATAATACCCCACCCGTGCAAATATCATATAAATTCTAAGCAATCTTTTGTATGGCAATTAGGAATAGTAAAATAAAGGTAATTAAAATCCATATGTAAGTTATCTTCTAAGAATGTGTGAAATTCAACTGTCATCAAACATAATACAAATAAAT